TAATTATGATGTGGTTTCACTGAACTACGAAATGATTATGAAACTATCTGACCTATGGAGAGCCTTTAAACAAGGGAGTTGGATTAGGTCTGAGAAAGTGAGTGATATGTATAAATAAATGAAATATGTTTTCTTCCCTTAAGGAGTGTCAAGGTATTAAAAAACAAAACAAACAAAAAAAAAAAAACACCCTGAGAATTGTTGGGGTGGAAAGCAGAGCTTTAAAGATCTGAGTGTTAGCTAGAAAAGAGGTATCAGATGGGAGGTTGCTCTGCACAGTGAAGGAGAAAGGAAACTTGTGGGTACTCTGGAGGAAGATGTGACAAATAGGAAGGCTTTGGGGTGCATGATGTGAGCCCTCCCCCTCTGCTAGGTTCACAAATACTCACTGTGAGTATCTCTCATGCACACCAGTGAAGGCTGGATTGTGCGTTCAGGTTGACATTCGAATCGGGATGGCTCACACAGTTGCTACAGCCTAGAAGCAGAAGCACCAGGAGAAACTGCAGTGGGGAGTGTTCTGGACTTGCCCAGACTTTGGAATTTGGGGTTAAGAGCATTCTTTTCCAGAGATCAAATACTAAGAAGGCCTCAGATGACAGCTAGGTTACAAGGAGCAGCTTGTCACCCTGTTTGAGAAATAGGCCAAAGGCTTAATCAAGCCTCTCTGAATTGCAGATCATCAGTAGAGGTGCAAAAATCCCAGATAGTGTGAAGGAAGCAAAAGTAAAACAACTCGATCCCATGTCTCAGGGATAATAAAATATCCCTGAGAGGTAGAGTAGCCGAAGCTAGCAAATAGATGTAGTGCCGTTTCTGAAGAACCATCCATGAATAACCTAGTAAGTGTGGGAGAGTGTGTTGTAGGAATTAAATAAGTAATGGATATAAATTACCTAGTGTATAATAGGTGCCTAATAAAAGCTCTTTTCTCCACTCAACCTCCTTCCTCTCTTCCCTCATTCAAAATAATATGGTGTGGTGTATACACACTAGATTGGCACTCACCTTCATTCCATCTACCTTGCAGTGGACTGTCTAGTACTGCAAAGGCTGGAAAGCTAAAAACTACATTTTCCAGACTCCCATGCAATCAGGGATCCAGAGATGAGGAAGGACCAACCATGAGATGTACTTGTGGGAGATCTGGGTGGAAGCCATGCTTCTGCTGCTCCTGCTGTTTCTGTGGGCAGTGCAGTTGAGTGACTGACTGAGCTTTCGCTGGTGTCATGAGGAGACATCCTGGTGTCCTGTCACTAGTTTCATGGATGTTGGGAGGCCGGTGTCATTCATTTAGCAGGTGGCCTTGTGGCAGGAGCAGTGCTGGTACTGGAGTGAGCAGCTTCCTTGGTGGCCCAGAACTTCTTTGGGAAGCTTCCTGAAAGCGCAACCTAAAGTCTTTTCTAAATCCCTCCAAGTGGTTTTGTAAGACACTTAATATCATGTCATAACTTCTTTCTTGCTTAATCTAACCAGAGTAGAGTTTGTTCTCTTCAACACCAATACAGGTGGGATGGAGAGACCTTTACTGCCGAATTCCTCTTAGATAAAGCAGTGTGTGTTTGTATGTGTGTGTGTGTGTGTGTGTGTGTGTGTGTGTGTGTAGGATGCCTTGACAAGTGCTTAAAGAGAGGGTAGTCCCCGGTCGTGGGGAGGGAGGAGAAGCAAAAGTGTGAAGAGAAGGCAGAACTCAGTGTATGGCATGACCCTTTTCCAGGACCCGTCTCCCATACTTTATAAAACCTGTATAAATGCTTGGTCTGATTGGTTGTTGTTGTGGTTGTGGAAACCAGAGGGGTGACTGAATTTCATGTTGGGGAAGACACAGTATGAGGACGGAAGTGGTATGTGAGGAAGCCAGAAATTTGAGAGGTGGAATGGCTAGGAGACCAAGGTCCCCACAGTGAACCAACACTCCCTAGTCCATGGGCCACCTTGGATATGAAGGAGCGAAGGCCCTCAGCGGACATCGTAGCACACATGAATAGCATTTTGGACTTCACATCTGTTGGCTCTTTACCTTACAACTCTCATTCTCTCTTCCCCATAAACTCTCAAAATACTTAGGCACTACAATCCTTCAGAGTTCTGGTGTTTTCTCACTTATATTTATATGCATTTTTACTTGTTTCTTTACCTTCTCTGTAAGACTGTTAGCTTCTGGAAGGCAAAGGCCTGGGTCTAATTAATCTTTAACCCTGAAGTTATTACGTCCAGAGTGTTTGTGTTTGTGCCTGTGTGCATTTTTCTGGGGAGCGTACCCAAAGCTTTAATCATATTCTGCAAGGGGTCCAAGACCTGGAAAATATTTAGGAGATGCAAAAGGAGGTCTTATTTTGGAACATCTGGATACTGTGGTTTTGGTTTTTTTTATTGCTATTAAAAAAAGAAACATCTTTCAAAAGTCAAATCCATTCATCCTCATGCTTGTCTTCCATAGAGGGTGTGCACCATGGAAAGTGAAGGCTCATAGGCTGGGCAGGAAACCTAGATCAGCTTTCTGCTTTCAAGATTCTGTCCATTAGGAGCTCAGCCAAGCAGTGCATGTTAATAGCCTCTTCCCCAGGACGCCTTGCCCTCCCTCAGAAAGATTTACAAGACAAGCTGACACCAGGCAGGTCCCACTGTGGGTGGGATCCTCGGCTGTTGTGTGCTTTTCAGCCTGTCGTCTTTTAAGCTATAAATATTTACCAAGTGAGTG